TATTCACTTGTGTTCTAATTTTGTCCAGGTCTCAACGCCTTCGAGCAGGAGGGCATCCACAACATCACGGCACTGAAGGACCAACTGATCAACGCCAGTCACGCCCAATCGCCGGCGATCCTGAAGCGGCACGGCGACGTCATTGCCAGGTGGCAGAAGCTGCGCGACGCCAGCGATACGCGCAAACAGCGACTGCTGGCCATGCAGGAGCAGTTCCGCCAGATCGAGGAACTCTACTTGACATTTGCCAAGAAAGCTTCGGCCTTCAATTCTTGGTTCGAAAATGCCGAGGAGGATCTCACAGATCCTGTTCGCTGCAATTCGATCGAAGAAATCCGCGCCCTGCGCGACGCCCATGCCCAATTCCAGGCGTCTCTGTCGTCGGCCGAAGCTGATTTCAAGGCATTGGCAGCACTCGACCAGAAGATCAAGAGCTTTAATGTTGGACCCAACCCGTACACGTGGTTCACCATGGAAGCTCTTGAGGAGACCTGGCGTAATCTGCAAAAGATCATAGAGGAACGCGATGGCGAACTTGCCAAGGAGGCCAAGCGACAGGAGGAGAACGACAAGCTGCGCAAGGAGTTCGCCAAGCACGCCAATCTCTTCCACCAGTGGCTAACTGAGACAAGGTGAGTGTTGGGGCTTGGTATATGTATCTTAAGGAGGGGTTTACTCAATCCAGATGTGTGTTGGTTTCGACTCCATGTACCACCCATCCCCAAGCCCACACACAAATCCGAAAACAAGTCTTGTGGTCTCTCGACTCTCTCTCTTCTTCCCCCATAAAAAAAACGTAACTGAAAGATCCATTCTATTTTCTAGATATTATATGCTGGGTTATAACCGTCAAGGGTAATTAAGCGAGCAGGCTTGATATTCTGCGTTTGAACTCGTTATTTTCTGTTGTGATCTGTTTTGGTTCCTCTTAACTCGCGTTGGAGCCGAGCTCCCAAACACGCTGCGCCTTCACTAACCCTTGGGAATAACTCTATGTTTCTCCGTAACTCTTGCTCTAGCGCTTGTAAATACTCGTCAATAGATATCAACACTGATAAGATCGAGCAACGACGACTAAGGCCTAGTTTTAGTTAGTTGTATTTAGCGCAAGCACCCACCGACCCAACAGATTAGATTGTATATTATGAACGTGCTGTTCCGATTCTCCATTATTCTTTTGGTCTACTCACCTCAAACTATTCAAAATTAACGAAACCTAACTGTTTGGCATGCGAATCGAGAGCAAAATACTGTTGTGTAGCATACAGATATAAGTAGAAATCGAGCAATTAAGTCAATTATTTTATTTCTTCTGTTTCATCGAAAAGAGTTAACCAAAAATTTAGTAGCTTTTTACAATTTACAATTTGAACGTTCCTTTGGCGCTATTCTTATTTTAACTCGCTTCTAGCAATTAGACGACAACTTTTGTCTTTATTTAGTTGCTGAACTCAAAGAACCAATCCTAATTACACTAAACTCGAACCAGGCTCCACCAAATTCCCACAGACACAACTTTGTAAATATGTACAAACCAAAAAAAAAAGAAAAACAAATGGGAAGACAAACTAGTTGCAAGCCCAAAATCCAGAAAATAATATTCGTTGCCCGTAACAGACCTCTAACAAGATTTGCTTATCTTTTATGCATTTAAATTCATTATATCGTTCCGATTTGTTTGAGACATAACTCTCGATATTGTGCCCTACTAACGAATGCTCATTTGTCTGCCAACCACTCTGAAACATCGCCAATCCACAGAACGTCCATGATGGAAGGCTCCGGTTCCCTGGAACAGCAACTGGAGGCACTTCGCGTCAAGGCCACCGAGGTGCGTGCCCGCCGCGTCGACCTCAAGAAGATCGAGGAGCTGGGCGCCCTGCTGGAGGAGCACCTGATCCTGGACAACCGCTACACGGAGCACTCGACGGTGGGCCTGGCCCAGCAGTGGGATCAACTCGACCAGCTCTCCATGCGCATGCAGCACAATCTGGAGCAACAGATCCAGGCACGCAACCACTCGGGCGTCTCCGAGGACTCGCTCAAGGAGTTCTCGATGATGTTCAAGCACTTCGACAAGGACAAGAGCGGCAAACTGAATCACCAGGAGTTCAAGTCCTGCCTGCGCGCCCTCGGCTACGACCTGCCCATGGTGGAGGAGGGACAGCCCGATCCGGAGTTCGAGGCCATCCTCGATGTGGTCGATCCCAACCGGGATGGCTACGTCTCCCTGCAGGAATACATCGCGTTCATGATCTCCAAGGAGACGGAGAATGTGCAGTCCTACGAGGAGATCGAGAACGCCTTCCGCGCCATCACCGCCGCCGACCGCCCCTACGTCACCAAGGAGGAGCTCTACTGCGTAAGTATATCACTACTGGAGGGTTAAGGATATAATAGAAGCCTAGGACGAAACCACCTTTAAAATGTCAAAAAAAATTTAGATGAAATAGATTCCTTAGAAGGAAACCACCTTTACACCATCGAATACCACCATGTAACAGCTTGCTATTTTCCACCCACAGAACCTCACCAAGGACATGGCGGACTACTGTGTGCAGCGCATGAAACCCTTCTCGGAACCCCGCTCTGGCCAGCCCATCAAGGATGCCCTAGACTACATAGACTTTACGCGAACGCTGTTCCAGAACTAAAGAGCCTGCCTGCCTGGTTTTGTTTAGTGGCGCCTGAGCATATGTCTTACAATTTAAAATATATTTCTAAAAACCAACAAAACTGCAAAAAAAAACAAACAAAAATATATATTTACACCATTATTTTCGATAATTTAGTCTATAAGTCAAACAGTTTAATGCTTATTTAAGAACCTATGCCACAATGAACCTAAAATCAACAATAGCACCTTGCTTGCAATACATATTTATCAACATGTCTACGAACCATTTGTAGTTTTTGCATTTAACAACACACCCCGATAAAAGTATCTTAAATTTGGACGTTTCAGTTTGAAGATTGGCATCACGCATCAGGTCGCCGGAGAAGATATTTAATCGAGGATATAATCAAAGTAATTCGAGCTGGCGCTCGCAGAAAAAATCGCGCCTGAAGAGCAGATAAAAAAGCTTAGCTTCCAGTAATCAAGAAACTCACATTTTCCATATTGAATGTCTGTAACTTGTAACGAGCATAGACACAATTGAAATATCAAAAAGTTTAAGATACTATTGCTACCAAAAAATACATAATATCCAGCCTTTGTGTTTTCTCCAGTTTCTACGTGTATTCGAAACGAAAGTAGTAAACTTTTTCTAAAGCAAAACAAAAAACAAAACGATGAAAAACAAAACAATAAATATTTGCCTCTGTATTGAACGTATATTTACAATCCGTGAATTGCAAAAATAAATATATTGCTGCATGTCTAAAAATGTTAAATGTGTGGAATGTTTTCTATCGGGATTTGGATTCTAGTTTATTTAAAAAGGTTTGACTAAAAATTTTGGATCCACTTGTATTTTTTTTAATTAATTAATATTCAATTTTGATTTGATATAACATTAGTAAAATGTAGTTAGTTAAGTTAAACTAAGAGTATTTTTATCCCATTTAGTATTTTATATTTATTCGTTAGATATCAAAACAAATTTAACAATTACGATTACAACAAGAACTTGTTAACGCTTTCCGCATAGGCAGTATTGGTGAGCTTCCCATTGAGCGCCTCCTTGGGCAGCCACTCGAACTTGGCCACCTTCTCCGCCACCTGTCCGGTGCGCAGGGAAGCCCTGTAGAAGAACACCTTGGCTCCGACGCTCTGCGTCCGCTGGTTGCTGGGATACTTGTACTTGTGGAAGCCGACGGGGGCGTTGCCATAGAAGAGTACCTGCAGTTCCTGGCCGCACTGCTCGCGGAGCACACGTTCCGCCGTCTGGCGCATCGATTCGCCCTCCTCCCGCTTGCCCTGTGGCAGAATGAGGTGCTCCTGTGGACCGAGTTTCTGCTGGACGAGCAGGTAGAGCGTATCCTCCAGGCAGCGGTCCGTGGAGCTGGTCTTGTTGGCCTTATCATCTGGCGTGGTGCGGTCGGCCAGCTGGAATTTCTTCAGCTCCTCGATGTAGGCATCTTTCAAATCCTGCGCCGTCTGCTTGGCCCCACTGTCCTCCAGATCCACCTGAATCTTGCCCTGCTTAATAAGCTCCGCCTGGACAATCTCCCGCTCGTGCTTCAGCTCGTGGTTGGACTTCAAGCTGTTCTCGTACTCCACACGCCACAGCATGTCCTGGAACTGTTTCTCGAGGGGATTGAGGGATTTGGAGACCACAGGCAGGCGCTCCACGAGCACGCCGGCATACAGATCCCACTTCTCCGGGGCGGCGGCAGTGGATTGGCTACGACTCAGCTCCCGGACACCAACTTGCACCAAGCGACGCAGCATTTTTGGCAATTTAATTCAATTTGTTAAAGAAAATTAAAGAATTGGGCACCGATTACATGAGCACTAGAGCCGGAACAGCTGTGGTGCGCATGTGTTATCGTTATCGGAGAAAGCACATCGCAAGCTTCTCATAATTTTTATTTTTTTAACAGTGTTGTTAGCTATTCAGCTTCTTGTTAATCAAGATTGTGGATAAATATTATCCAAAATAGACAACAAAAATATGAATAGTTTTTAAATATTTATTATAGTAAAGAATTTCAAATATAATTTAATATAAATTTAAATTAAGCAGTACAACATGTATGTATGTTAATGTTTATATACGAATATAAAAGATTAAACACAACAAGCATATATGTATGAGCTATATTAATAAAAATATACAAGAGCTGCTTAATTATATCAAACATGAGAGCTAAGAGGGAGTATTCACAGGACTGGCTTTGGTACCTATAAAATGTTTTTAGTTACGTATATGGACTCTGACTATGTGATATATAACATGTTAATAAGGTATTCAGTTTTAAAATATGCTAGATCCAGCTTTGAAAAGGCCAAGCTGCCAACACTGATGTGAAATAAAGCCGGAACAGCTGTGCTGAGAATCTGCTATCGTTATCGGAGAGAGCGCGTCGCCAAAGTTTTCACAATTTGTGTTTATTATTTGCCGCTGTACGAATTAATACAGAAAAGACTGCCTTAAAATGTCCGGTCTGGAGTCGTATATCAACCACACTGTGTCCATCATCACGGCGGACGGGAGGAACTTCATCGGGACACTGAAGGGATTCGACCAGACCATCAACATCATCATCGACGAGTGCCATGAGCGCGTCTTCTCCACGACATCCGGCATCGAGCAGATCGTCCTGGGACTGCACATTATCCGCGGAGACAACATCGCCGTGATCGGGCTGATAGACGAGACCATCGACTCCCGCCTGGATCTGGCCAACATCAGGGGCGAGCCGCTGGGCCCAGTGGTGCACTAGGATAGCGAATAAAACCAGTGATTCTCAAGACTTAAACACGGTGTATTATTAATGTTAATTGTATTATTCGGCGTCCACGCTGAAGCTGACTTGGCGGCAGTCCAATGTGTCCAGGTCCACCACGGCCACGCTCTGAGTTTGGCTGAACTTGGGCACGCACACCAGACGCGTCCGCTTGCCCTGGGATCCCTCGTGCAGCGCCGTCTCGAAGGAATCGCAGTTTCCGGCGAAGTACACGTGCGGACACTCGCGCAGGATGAAGGGATCACTGTCGATGTACGGATAGCAGGCCAGTGTGTCCGGAGCTGTGGGTGCTATGTGTCCCCAGGTAAGGGTGCAACGCAGTGCCTCCAATGATGAATCCAGCGAAGTGCTGCGCAGCAAATCGGAGACATTTTGGCCAGAGGTTCCTACGACGAAGGCATCGTCCAGCTTGCAATTGTACGGATTGGTCACCGCCTGAAAGGAGGTCAGTTTGGCGGCCTCCGGGAACATGCATTTGTGGAACGCCTGCTGGGGTAGCATAAAGTTAGCCGGATCGTAGGCTCCCGGCATTATGTCCACAGGAAGACTGCGAGACCACGAGGCGAACCACTTGTCCAACTGGGTGACAGCCTGCACAGTATCGTTGGCGTTGGCCTGGGTGCGGGCCACCTGAAGAGTGGGCACATGGGCCACTGCACTGGCTCTCACCGAATTGCCAGCCACGATGAGACGCACCATGGAGCGGGCCTCCTTGCCATTGCCCAGACTTCCAGCCAGCCAGTACTGGAAGAGATTCAGCGCCTCCACGTAATTGTGGGCCTGCAGTTGGTCCAATCCCGAGACGAGCACCAGCAGGCGGCTCTTTCTAGTCGTAGCAAGCGGCTTTTGGGGTCCACTCTCGTAGAAGAGAATGTCCTCCACATTGAAGAATCCCTCGCTGTCAGTACCTCCCAATGTGGCGCATACAACTCCGGTGGCCATAAGCTCACCCTTCACCTCGCCCTGCAGCCGCACTCGCTGCAGTTCATCCTCCAGCACAATCTTGTCCTCCGGCTCCGAGTAATTCTGTCGTGGTGGCTGTGGGGCCAACTGGTTCTCCTCGGAGATGTCCCGCAGGATGCTGGGCTTGTGCGCCTGATGCTTGTAGATGGTGCCAATGAGGATGCAGTGGATGTCCTGTTCGCCGCGTAGATCGCACAGCTTCTTGATAGGCTCCTTGTTGCCCCACTTCTTCTGGGCCAGAGGCGTAAGGAGGCGGGTCATCTCGGCCAGGCGGTGGGCATAAAGGTGGCAGAATTGCTTCTGGTAGTCGTGTCCCTTCAGCCGGAAGTGGCTGCTCAGGTTCTCGTACTTGGTCTCCAGGCGGTTGGTCATGTTTTCGGCTATGTTTTTACTTTAAAACTCAGTAATCTTTCAAGACGCTTGTGTATTTTTGGGCGCCAATTTGATACAGTGAAGATTCGCTAGGGAAACATCGCAAGGGTATTTCACAAACCTAATCGATAATTGCAACTGGGTAAAAATATCAGTAATGAAAAGTCGATTTTAACACGTAATTGTATTTATTTCTAAAACTATACTTTTAAAGTAGGTGTTTTGTACAACAAAGATTTTATTCAATATTATGGGTAACTGCTAACTAGTACTTAACCCAAACAAGACTTTTTAAATAAGGTAATAAATATGTAAGGTTGAATATCAGTTTATATACGTATATGCACTAAATTCTGAAAGTACTTTTTAAAATACTTGATTTTATGAACAAAAATGTAAGGGTAAGTGTTATGCAGCACTTAATCCAATAAATATTTGGTATAATATACAAATATGTGTAATAAAATCAGGATTTTTTTATGTGTATTTATTACTAAAACTATTTTTTTATAGACATTAATCTTGTAAAAAATAAAGTTATTAACTATTGAAGTAACTGATATCTATTATTTACTGTACTCTTAACGCCTATCGATAGCCGATAGTTCCACACGCCCTGCCAACAGCTGTTTTACACATATCGAAAAGAAGAAGAAGCAAAGCTGCAAAAGCTGCGAAAAATATTTGTGATTTGGAAAAGAACTCGTTTTGGAATGTGCGTATGCGATGCATTTAGTGTGTAATCCCAACCAGAAGATGTGGGACTCTGCGATACGGGACATTGGAGCAACCTTTCTCCACCCAGTCGCCGTCCAGTGCTGATCTGGGCGAATGTTTTTGGGGCTCTTATTGATTTTTACGGTTTCGCGGGACTGATACGCATTTCGCTTTTTGCCGATCCTCCCCGGAAACTGTGTCGTCGCAGGAGGAGAAGGAGGGAGTAGCATGTCAGTGCGGCGTTAGAGGGTAGCTGCCAGAAGCCATGGGCGGCTCGGTGAGCCAGGTGTTCCGCTCCGGATCGGCGCTCCTCTCGCATCGCGACGGCAAGCTATCCAAGGCCACTGAGGAGACCATCCAAACTCTCTTCGACATCCTCCGCGCCAACCCAAAGGTGTCCCTGCAAACGCTCGAGAGCCTGCTCATCCAAATACCCAAGAACGAGAACATCCTGGCCATGCACGACGACTACGGCTACAACATCCTGCAGCGCAGCGTTGGCCTCAACCACATAGATCTCACCAAGTGGCTGCTGCACCGCCATCGACCCGATGTGAACCGCTCGCCCTGCTCCCTGCCCCTGCACATCGCCACGCTGCGTGGCTACGAGGAGTGCGTGGAGTTGCTCCTGCGCCACGGCGGTCGCATTGACGTGGACACCAGGATGTGCTTCCCCGGGGCCCATACCCGGAATTGCGAGGAGAGCGGCAAGTGGCACAACAATGTGGACGATGTCAGCGAGCGACTGAATACAAAGCTGCAGAATGCCCTCTACTATGCCATAGACGGGGATCAGTACAACGTGCTCAGCTTGCTCACACAGAAGATGGAGGAGCCATGGATCCCATTTCGGGTGAAGAAACCGCTACTCCATTTGGCCTGTGAACGCGGCGCCTGGAATTGCGTCCAGCAACTGGTCGTTACGCGTTCCGAGGAAATCAATCTCATCATGGACGAGTATTACCCGATTCACCATGCCGTGCTCCATGACGGCCGTTTCCTCGAGCTGCTCATCCATCATGGCGCCATCACAACTGTGCGCACCTGCACCCAACAAATGACCCTGTTGCATGTGGGTAAGTTTCTACAGGAAGCGCAAAAAGATTCATCACCATATTTGAATATTCACTAACATTTACTTTTTCAGTTATTTTTGCTGCTCGCAAATCGGCAGATGACACGCTGGCCACTCTGCGCATTCTGTTGGAACGCGGCTGCAAGGAGCTAATCAATGCCCCCGACTCACTGGGGAACACACCCCTGCACGCCCTAATAGTGCGCTATGCTTTGGAGGAGGCGCGTTATGGTTACGACAAGTGGACCAAATGGGATGTCCTGCACCTGGTGCGATTCCTGCTGCAGAACGGGGCCAAGCAGTCGATTAACCAGGCGGGCAACAGCGCCATGGCCTGCGTATTTCGCCACTTGAGAGACTGGGAGGTCTGCTACGAGCTGCTCAGCATGCTCATCAAGGAGAATGGTGAGTAATTATAGTAACAATAGTTATGGTTACCATTATTTTCTGCTTGCAGGTGATCCCAACATAGTGGGAAGGGATGGGTCTGTGCCCATTATGGTTCTGCTAGTGCCATTAATAAATAAGGATCATCTGCATCACTTCACGCACTCCATGAAGGTCTGTCTATTGGATTAGAAATACTATTTACCCCAGCTAATCCCTTTAATTGCAGGTCTGCTATCTGAACTGCATACGCATGCTGCTGCAGCATGGAGCCAATCCCAATTGCTCCTATCGCGCCAACCTCAAGCCGCTGCACGTGCTCGTGTTCACGGTGAGCGAGAACTTTACGCTCAACTGCGACGCCCAGAAGCGCACAAACTTCGACTTCATCAAGAACATACTTCTGATGCTGCTGCAGCATGGACTGGACTGCAACAAGACATATCAGCACATTCTGCAGGCGGTGATGGACATGGTGCAGAATGTGCGCACCTGCCACGACATGGAGTGCGTCTACGAGCTCACGCTTACGCTAATCCAGTATGGGGCAGATCCCAACATAGTGCTTAGCGGCAAGACGACGCCGGGCATTGCCATCTTCTCCAACGAGCTGGCCACCTTCCGCAGCTCGTTCCGCACCAATTCGTGCTACCTGCTCTTCTACTACATCATCTTGATCACCAAGAAGGAGTTTATCCTGAACGATCCGCATGCGTCATACACGCGGGTTATACATCTCTTCTATTTGACCATGCAGCACGAGCCGCTTTTCAATTGCCTCAAGGCGCTGCACAATTTTTATGTGGCCCAGGTGCCCAGCAAGAAGACGGAGCAGCTGATAGCCCTGATCTCGACGCTCTACCGCCGGCCGCGCAGTCTGAAGCAGCTATCGCGCTGGGCCATCTACGAGGCGATGAACCGCAAGCTGGCCCAGAACATCAACCGCTTGAACCTGCCCGGCCCGCTCAAGGATTACGTGCTGCAGTTCGACGAGAGGTAGCGAGTGGCGTGCGCCCAGGACCAATGAATCCCAACCGCAGCGAACTAGAGTCAATCACTACTACTGTTGCCCCTAGGCTATGTAATGTTTAATATGCATATTTGCCTACCCTAGTAGGTATGTAGTTACGCAATAATTACGAACTATCAGGCCTGTTCTGGGTAGCCCTATCATAGCTTAAAGATCAGCTCATTCGATCGCATTATCACTTTGATTTGATATTCGAAAAATGGAGAGATTTAGGTTATTTGGAGTTATGTTTTGAACTAGAACAGGTCCGTATAAGATATGAAAACGCTTAATCGTACCTAGACACAACAAAAAAACACACACACACACACAAACACATAAGAAGCCAATTTAAATATTGTCAAATCAAACATGTGCAATTTCTTTGATACGAATCTATTGATACTATTTGTGAAGAGAAGGAGGAACGCTCATCTATGTTTTGTAATTCTATACGTAAAATTTTGTGAACTGTAATGCGCTTTACACTAAAAAAATCCACTCACCCCCTATTCCAAAACTCTCATGCTGCATAAGTTATAGGACATAAACTTAAGGCTGTTTTTTGACAAACATTTCGGGTGTTTTAGAATTTTGTATATTCGAACGAGCGAGAGAGACGTTATGTAATTATTATTGTAACTATTATTATTGTTGCTAAACCGTTGTTAATCTCTGTATCTGTAATGTCATTTTCAATCGAATTGATAACGCTATCGATTAATAAATAAACATGAACTTTCACACGACCGACGAAGGGTGGTAATCCGTCAAGGTCATCGAACCGGAAAACCCCTCTTCCTTTTGCTGAAAATGAAAACAACAAAGTAAACACAACAAGTCGCCTTAGCAACAATAACAATTGGAGAACTGGAATCAGTTGAATCAGTTTGTGGCCAAAGAAGGCATCAACACCACCAGCATGTACAGCAAGAAGCTGGAGCGGATGCACCGCCCGCCCTCGGACATCACCAAGTACGACAACGAGCCGTACATGAAGAACCCCCTCCTGAAGTTCCGCATCAGTGAGGTCCACGAGCGTCGCCACTACCAGTTCCTCAAGCAAAAGGCGGCGGATGTCAAGGTGCGGGTGGCCCGCCAGCAATGGCAGCCGGAACCGGATATGCGACCACTGCCACAGTCCCACTACGAGGACAATCTGCGACGCGAGGTGCGCAAGATTGTGGTGCCGCCCATGTTGCGCCGCACCGAGGCCAAGATCCTGAGCTTCGCCTCGGAGCGGCTGAAGAACAAGTACCCCGAACTGGTGAAGGCCTACATGCAGGATGTGCACCAGGAGTTCAATCGCCTGATGAAGGTGTACAGCATGAAGAACATCCTGCGACATCCGGAGTTCTCCGACGAGGATCCGGCCCAGTTTGAGCTGCCCCATCCCGACACTGGCTTCCGGCGACCTGGTCGCACCCAGAACTATAGCAACTTCCTGGAGAATCGGCGACGCATCGCCCAGAAGCTGCTGATCCTGCAGCAGCCGCTGAGGGCCATCCTCAATCTGTCCGTGGGCGAGTTGCCCGACCTGGCCTGCGTCTTCCACTATGTCCTGGCCACGGGGGCCATGCAGCAGCAGCTGGGATTGGGCGGCAGGGAGGCTCTGTCCTACAAGTTCTACCGCAAGTATATCCAGAATCAGCTGGACAAGGTCAACACCTTCCTGAGGTGGACCTGGTATCCCAAGGTGGTGCTGGTGCTGCGCAAGCTCATGCGCAAGCGGGTGATGCCGATGAGCACCTGGAAGCGGGCCTGGAACGCTCTGGAGGGTCTGATGAACCGCGAGATGACCAATATGAAGATCAGGACCTTCGAGGAGATGTACCGCATGTGCAGTCATCCGCGCACGATGCCCATGCTGCGCCTGTCGCTGGAGTGGGCAGAGCTCTCCAGCGATCTGGACACGAGGCCAAATGTGTGGGCCATCCTGCGCACTTTCGCCGAGATCGCCACCGAGATCTCGATGGTGGGCTACCGGATGGAGCCACTGCAGCCCCAGGTGCAGACACTCACCTCCATGGCCATGTACGCGAAGGTTAACGACTACCTGAAGATCGATATGAATGAGAACTACCTGAAGGACGTGATCGATAAGGTGGGTATCAAATCTGAAAACTTGGTTAATTTAAAGTATTAAAAAATAAATTAATCGCTTAGGTAATTCCTATTTACATAGTATTTATATAGAACCCATTCTATAGATTTATATACAGCAAGACTAAATTTTAGACATTTGCATGAGTTAACTAATTAGTTAGTAGCACTAATAATTGTTTATTAATTTTGGCATAATATTGATAGATCAATCAATACTCAAAAAAAAAACTTTGTTCGGCTATTGCATTCATAATCAAAATGGGTTTAACAAAGAGCTTTTTATTAGAACTTTAAATTTTATAAATATATGAATGAATGATAAATAAATGCTTTAAAACAAATCTTAAGATCTTAATATAACTCTAGTGTAAATTTTAATTTTGCTATATTATAGATAGATTATTAAAAACTTAAAAAAAAAAAATTGTTAATGCAACTATAAAAAAAGGTTTTGTTTCGTCTTATGCATTCAGGATAATTAGAAACAATTCACAGATACATAGACCCTTTCAAATAACCATAGATTTTATTATAAAAAACATTTAAAATTATTCCCCACAGGTTCAGGATATAATAATGCGGACGTATCAGGAGGTGATCCAGTACATAGAGGCTTTTCGGGAGAAGTACTATGCGCTGTACTCCTGGCAGGAACGAGAAGCCCTGAATCATTTTCTGTCCGAGCCGCATGAGTTTGAGGAGTACTTCGCCCGTATCGACATGTACTATGGGTTCATCCAAATGCTGCGAAGTGAACCCGGCACCGAATACTTTGTGATGGCCGTAATCCACAATGAGCCCGCAGTATTGGGGCTCCGATCGCTGGCCGAGAACCTGATCGATGAGATCACCACAATCATCATTCGGGAGCACATCAAAGCAGAGGTGGAGATTTGTGATGAGTTCGAGAAGATCAAGTACAGGGCCCTGGAGATCCCGAAGTCCACGGAGGAGCTGTTGGAGAGCGCTGAGTACATGATCCACGTGAAGAAGGAGAAGATCGCCGAGTTGACGGATCGCATTCAGTATTGCCTGCAAGTGGGCACCAATATCGTCGAGCTTACCGAGATGTCCAAATACCACTTTGATCTGACCATCAAGACCATCAACTGGATCAAGGACATCAACGACATCTGCGACTACAATGCCTCGCAGCAGGAGCAGTTCAAGTTCACCTTCGAGGAGCACCTGCAGGAGGTCATCCGCAAGCTGAACACGGACATTGACGATCTGCTGCCCAAGTTGGCCGTCATCGATGACATGAGTCGACCGGACAAGTTTCGCGACAGCTACATCATACTGCAGAACTTTATAGATCAGCTCAAGACCTTCGACGACTACGTGGCCTGGATCAACAAGGAGGAGAAGCTCTTCAAGATCGCCCAGACAGAGTATCCCAAGTTGGAGATCATCAAGACTTTTGTTTACCCCTTTGCCGAGCTTATGAAGTAAGTACTATAGGTTATGGGGTTACATGGGTTACGCAATTTTAAATTTAAATTTATTAATTTTTAAATAGAATTTATTGCTTTTACAAATGTTTAATTTTTTGGTCAATGTCCGTCCCTTGCTTAAAATTGTATTAACCTATATAATAAAACATTTTTTTTTGTTTAACAATTTTTTTTTTCATTGCCTATTAGTTAAATTTTTATATTAGGTAAATGATTTTTTTTTTGTTTTTCTTATTTTTTCTTAAAATATATTATTATATTATATTATCCTTAAATTGTATTGCCAAAAAGTATTATTTGAAAACAAAATAAGTCTAAGAACCAATCATTTTGCAAGGGTTTTTTTTTATGACTGAATTGATGAGAAGTAAATGGATCCTATATCTAATATTTTACCCATCTGTAGATGCTGCATAAAGTGGCAGCGTAACTTGAGCGTATGGAACGATGGACCCTTCGAGTATCTGGAACCGCAGTTCGTGGAGAGAACTACGGACGATTACCTAAAGGAGTTCCAGAAGAATCAAAAGTATTACAGAGTGAAAATCAAACAGGATTTAATAGACAATCCCGTTTGCAAATTTAAGGTATTTGCTTTACAAGCCTTAAATAGTTTCTGATAATTATAAAGTTTTCAAACTGCAGGGTCAAACGGAAGACCCAGATCCGGCCAAGCACCCGGTGCCCCTGCGCCTGTGCACCTCGATGATCCAGTCCATTAAGGACTTCACCATCGGAGTGTTCATAGTGAACATCATGTGCAATCCGGCTCTGCGCAAGCGCCACTGGAAGGAGATGTCCGAGATAGCCGGCTTTGATGTCACTCCGGATGCGGGCACCACACTGCGCAAGATCCTGAACTCCGGTCTGGATCCGATCCTGGACCAGTTCGAGATCATCAGCATTGGGGCGAACAAGGAGCTGCAGCTGTGGAACGCCCTGCAGGCCATGATCAAGGAGTGGGAGAGCAGAGTCTTTCCCTACGGTCCCTACAAGGAGACGGGGGTCATGATCCTCAGCAGCTTGGATGATATTCAGGCCCTGCTGGATGACCACATCTTGAAGACGCTGGTCATGCGGGGATCGGCCTTTATGAAACCCTGCGAGGAGGAGGTGCGTGCCTGGTACGAGAAGATTATGCGGGTCAATGAAACGCTGGATCAGTGGGGCAAGGTGCAGGCCAACTATCTGTACCTGCTGCCCATATTCTCCTCCAAGGACATCGTGGCCCAGATGCCCGAGGAGGGTCGCCTCTTCACCATTGTGGAGCAGACTTACACGAGGAACATGGGTTTAGTGCTGCGGCAACCACTGGTGATGGAAACTGCCCCGGTTTCGGGCTTACTCGAGTCCCTGCAGAAGGCCAACGAGCTGCTGGAGGACATTGCCACCGGGGTGAGCAACTACCTGGAGAAGAAGCGTCTCTACTTTCCTCGCTTCTTTTTCCTGGCCAACGATGAGATGCTGGAGATTCTCTCCGAGACCAAGGATCCCCTCCGAGTGCTTCCCCACCTGAGTAAATGCTTCGAGGGCATCAATAGCCTGGAGTTCGATGCGGCCAAGAATGTGCTGGCCATGATTAGCAGCGACAAGGAGTCCATTGAGTTCATGGAGCAGGTGTCCACAGCGGCGGCAGGCGGAAGTGTGGAGAAGTGGCTGATTGGAGTGGAGGATGAGATGCTCAAGGCGGTGCGCTACCAGAACGAGCTATCCTTTGCCCAATACCCAAAGGTCAAGCGACATGAGTGGGTGTTGGAGTGGCCCCAGATGACGGTGCTGGCCATTTCGCAGGTCTACTGGGCAGCCCGCGTCCATGGCTGCCTGCGTCGCACATTTGGCGGCAACATGACCATAATGATGAACTTCTTCCAAGAGCTTTCGAAAGAACTAAATGACATAGTCACCTTGGTGCGCTCTCCCAAGATCAGTAACCTCAATAGGATCACCATTAAGTCGCTGATTGTGATAGATGTCCATGCCAAGGACGTTTCTGAGGATCTGATCAAGAACAAGGTTAGCAATGAGTTCGACTTCCAGTGGCTGGCCCAGATGCGTTACTACTGGGAGGATGAGAAGACCTGGGTGCGCATCATCAATGCCACGGTGCCGTTTGCCAACGAGTATCTGGGTAACTCGGATCGCCTGGTGATCACACCCCTCACAGATCGCTGCTATCGCACTCTGGTGGGAGCCTATCAGCTCCATCTCAATGGAGCTCCCGAGG